CACAATACTGTACTATAAACAATTATGCTAGCCTGCGCTGTAGACACTTTAAACCTTCTTTAAACCAACTATATCTATACTGTACACAATACGTGGGTCGTCTGCACTGCAGGCTATAAACAAGCCAGATGATACAAAAAGCAAAACTATCTGTTAGCTCTAGTTCTCTAGTTCACCCCTTCCCCTAGCTACTTACAATGAACGCAGTAAAACTTTACTGACTCTAAAACTTTCACATGAAACAAGCATGTTTAAACAATGAAGTGCTTTCTTTTGAAAAATAAACTTAAAGTCAAAGTATATTACATGTTATATCCCAAAAGGTCGCACCTACCCCAGTACTAACCCCGCCTGACAGAGCTTAACTTCACTGAACAAACAGGGCAAGGGAACTGGGAGAATGTTATGAACTGGAACCAAAATTAAAGTACCCATAAATGATAGCAAAAATAACATAGGCTGCTGACTTTAGGGACCTCAATAAATGATATTTCAGATCCAAAGAACTAAAAGAGTTGATTTTTATACTCGTCTGGTACTGTATCATGAAATAGGACTTAACAGTATAATACACATGACCTACAATCATACCCAACTTTTGAAAAAAGAGAAATCACAAAGTCATACAGTGGCTTAGAAAGAGATAATAGCAAGCCAAGAAGAGGAAGTTTCCTTAACTACTCTTGAACAAGCAGTATACATGCAGTTTGTTTTTGTAACTGCTATTTCAATTTCCACCTCAGAAACCCAAGGAAAGCTTACACAGTATCAGCACCACAGGAAGAAAAACAATCGAAAAAGCTTACATCATGTGGACCAGCCTTTGGGAGATTTAGGTCTGGAAAAACAACATGGAAAGGTAATTCATCGAAGAGCAGGAGCAAAAAATAGATTATTAGAAAAAGGGATGAAAACACCATATTCACTTGTCATTGATCTACTGACAAGCATAAGCAAACTTCTGTTATTACTGCGGGAAAATACACAAAGAAGGCTGTCAGTCAAGTCCCTGACAACAAAAATTATTAGTTCTTTCCCATGTATGTCCCAGCCTAGATCTCTCCATCTGGTCCATCTCCACAAACCTGAGTTATTATTTTTCTCTGGGCTACTAGGTTAGTGGGGTTTAAATGGAATCTTTTGCATAATTTATTCCAGTTTGATAATAGCATGCAATACATACATGTACATTTTGTATTATTTGCTGTATGCTGGAATTGGTTTTTGGTCTCTAAATAATTAGTTATCAAAAATGCAGAAATCTCTCACGAACTCATCTTACCAGCAGCAGCCAGATGTGGATCCAGAAAATTCAGAAGAGGGTGGCTGGGACACTTGCCCACTTGCCAGCTATATAGAAATGTTTTATTGTTCTGAAAATTCTATAAAAATAATACAAAATAATTTCAAAGAAAAAAGGCCCCCTTTGGCCCACCCCTAAATCCGCCCTTACTGTTGCTTAATGTCACAGCTCCTTTGTTACTCACAAGAAGCTGATAGGTGCCTCAATCAGGGTGAGATGAAAATTAAAACTCATTGCCCTTTGGGCAAACTGTTGCTGAAGTTTAGCAGCCACAGTACAGCATTCATGCTGGTCAACCAACCCCTTCTCTGTAGCATTTCAGATTACTCTTTATCTTGGCAAATGCTTACTCAATTGACACCTCATGAGTTGCTTCACTAGCCCTGGGCTATCAGATAGCACTTTTGTTGCACCCTCACCGGCTAATGGTGCGCCAAATTGGTGACAGAGTGTTGAAAAAATTTGTGAAAAATTGTGTTTTGATGAATTAATTTGTACACTTTAAAAAACTACGAAATCTGTAGATTCAATAAAAATAATAATTAATTTATTAATCCTTAAGGTTAAGTCACAACAATTATTTACAAACATCTACAAAACAGACTTGAATGTTAAATGTGTCTGCTACTAACCTTTGGAAACATCTTGTACAATTCTTTCTAACTTTCTAAACTTGTTGTAAATCGTTATACCATAAATTTTCAATAATATTGATCTATTAAAATCTCATTGTAGAAAAATCACATAGATTGACAACACTGCACCCTCCTAAATGCAAATTCCTGACTCCCTTTAAATGGCAAAAAAAAAAGAAAAGAACAAAATGTTTTCAGCAATCTGTTCAAAATGCAATAATAATTCAAGCTGAAAATAATAATATTAGCCCCACTGAGTTTTCAAATAACAAAATATTCATGATTTTGCATGTCTTCATTCAATTATGAAAGTTGCATTTTTATTTGCACTTACACTGTCTGTGTAAAACGTACCTCTTAGCAAAACAGGAACATTTTCCTAATAACCGGTAGTTTCACTATATACAAATTTATACATTTTGGATTTTTCCATAAATTATGTCATGACACTGTGCCCCTTCAGATCAAAATAGAGAGCTGTAGCAACAACAACTGCAACAGCATAAAGACATCAAAAAGGCAAAATAAATTTTATACTACTCCTAGGCAAAATAAGACGTCA